GCGCCCTGACAGGAGGGAAGCAGGGGAAGGACTCCACAGCTCCACCAGCAGCCACCACTTAGGGAACCCCCAGGTTCCAGAGACCAGTAAGAAGGCACAGAACCGCCCGGAGCAGCATCGCTGCGAGTCACCCCAGCTCAGGCAGCCACAATCCGAGTCCAACCTGACCTGCCCAGACCCAGCTCGGGGTGATTCAGCATCGTGCCCGTGGGGCATGGGTGAAGCCTTGGCATCAGAGGGTGGCTGGGCCACAGCCAACATAGCCTTAAATAAGAAGGCAAATCAAATTCTGGGCTGTATCAGAACTGTGGCCAGCAAATGAAGAGAGGGGATTCCACTCCTCTACTCTGCTCTGGTGAGACCTCCCTGGAGTGCTGTGTCCACTTCTGGAGAACTCAGCACATGAAGGACATGGACCTGTTAGAAGGGGTCCAGAGGAGGGCCACAAAAATGATCAGAGGGCTGGAGCACCTCTTGTGCGAGGCCAGGCTGAGAGAGCTGGGGTCAGTCTGGAGAAGAGAAGGCTCCGGGGAGACCTTCTTGCAGCCTTTCAGTCCCTGAAGGAGCCCACAGGAGAGCTGAGGAAGGACCATTTACAAGGGCATGTAGCGAGTGGACAAGGGGTGGGGGTTTTAAACTCAACCAGGGAAGATTTAGACACTAGGAAGAACTTCTGTACTATGAAGGTGGTGAAACACTGGACTAGGTTGCTCAGACAAGTGGTCGATGCCCCATCCCTGGGGACATTCCAGGCCAGGCTTGATGGTGCTCTCAGCAACCCACTCTAGCTGGGGGTGTCCCTGCAGGGGGGGTTGGACTCCGTGGCCTTTTGAGGTCCCTTCCAACTCGAAGCGTTTGGATTCCCAGCCACCCAGCAGCGCTGCGTTCAGGGTCCCCAGCTCCTTCCCCACCCCAAGCCCTGCAGACCTTCCGGGGACTTTCACACCAGGCAGACCACGGTGCAACCACACCACCCCCTCCGACCGCGACGCTTTCATCGGGCTGCACCCGCAACGGCTCCCCCCTCCCCGCACCGACCTGAGCCCGCGGCCCCTCGGGGTCCCGGCACGTCGCGAAGATCCAGGCCGGGGGTCTGGGGGCCCCCAGGAGCTGCTTGACCAGCTCCAGCCCG